AATATTGTGTAAACACACTCCATTAAGAGCTGGTGTCTCAACAGCAATTCTAAAATCCAGGAGGGCATAGAATGCCGTGTCAAGCACCAAAGAAAACAACTGCTAACCCATATTTTTGTATTCAAAAAAGTCATTCTTGAAGGAAAAATAACTCTCTATGATAACTCATTTTAAAAAGCAAATACTATAGGGCATAAAGGCGCTCGCTGATCAACTTCAACACAATGGTAAAGAATGACACTGATAATGTACTCTGACTAATAGGTAACCCAGATTTAGAATATTACCAAAGAGAGATAATGAACTTAAGCACAGGCAATACTGACCACGTTCAATCAAGCGCACTGGTTCATGTTTGTGGTAGCTGGGACTTGGAGAAAGAGTGGACAGAACAGTAGCAAGGTAACCCAACTTGCTGGCATGCGTATTCTGGACTGAATGAATGTGGAAGAGTGAGAGCGAGGGCCAGCTAAGAACAGAGAGAGAAGACAAATGCAAGGTGCATAAGAGGAAATTAGCATAACCACCACCCAGAGCCCGCGGCTGTACAGGAAAACCATGAAATTCGATTGCCTTGGCACATGCTGCAGTGTCCTTCCTTATGCCTGTGAGGTCTCAGGCTAGTTACTTGTTTCTAAGTCTCGGTTTCTGCAACGATAATATTAATTACTTTGTAGCTCAGGAATGTAATCCATTCATAGAGATAAAACATTTAGAACAATGTATATCATAGAGGAGTCAATCACCTTTATCATTATAATCTTATGTTCTCATGATAAAAATATAATTTTTGTGCTATCTGAATTCTAAAATTATTCAGAGACACAGATGCTACTAAATTACACATGTGGCGTTTCTGCCAGGTATTTTAGGACTTAGCAGGTTAGGAGATATCATTCACGTTACCTTGATTAAAATATATCTGCTATGAATATACATACCACAGTCCTTAGAACTTATTTTTCCTTCTGCCATGTGTACATTTCTAGATCCAATATCTGCCAGCTACTTGCCATTTCCTTGAAAACCACAAGTTTGAGATACTGGGAGACACTTTTGACTTTCTTAAGTATAACATGTTGATCTTATTAAAATCATAAGAAAGAAAACAAGTGGATATTTAATAAACTGGCGTATGAGTCGTTACATCATACCGGATTCAGCAAGAACTGTAGACACGTTAAGATTAACCATAAACTTACTTTGTTTTCCATTTATAACTGTCATTCAGAAAGGATGAATTTTTAATAAAATGTAACATTCAGTTATTAACTCACAGGCACGTCTGGATTTCCATTATTCTTCCTTCTGTTCAAGTACACCCTTTGAGAATGTTAATGGGCAATGGAGTGTAAAGGAACAGCTGAAAGCTCCAGAAGTGAACAAATGGACAGACTCGGGATAATTGGGAGTCGGCTGTAGTGTTGTTATGTATAGACAAACTCATAACCCGGAGAGACACAGAAGTATGTGTGTGTGTGTGTGTGTGTGTGTGTGTGTGTGTGTGTGTGTGTGTGTGTGTATATATATATATATATATATATATATATATATATATATATATATGTAATTGAAGGCCACATTTACTTGATAGCTACTTTATTTTTTTCTATGAAAAAACGTACTTCAAAATTTCCAAGACCCAATTTCCAGCTAAATCATAAGTAAAGACTCTTGGCTATTGGATTAAATGAGGAGTCAGGAGCGCCCATCTCCTGCAAGTGAGGAGCCCTCAAAGCTACTTCAGCAGGGCAGCAATCAGTTCTGTCTTCACTTGGGGGACTTCAGAATCAATTGAGATGGGGCCCAGCCAGGGGAAAGTAATTCTTTTCTAAGCAAACAGAATTGCACTTGTATGAAATGATCTAGGAAGTGTATGACATGAGACATTTCCAATCTGTGAAGAATAGGACTTTTTTTCCCCCTCTCTTTTGTACCTGACTTCTGAGATGCGTTTGGAGACACAAAAAAAAAATGCTAGGGTAGGTAGTGCCAATTCCAGTACGCCTGTGAAGCCATCCTTCCTCCTGGCCAAACAGTAAAACTAGAATGCATTTTCTATGTTCACAATCCAGTTTCTATGGATTTTATAATTAAATGTGCTCAGCCAACCGTAATGACCTCATGGCAAGAAGATGAAGAGGTTTTGAATCACACATTATCAGAATAAGGGTCCATTGCTATGTGTACTAATTATATATTTAGTACAGTGTGAACCCAGGGTCAAGGTAGAAGACATGGACACCCCTCAGCCTGCCAGGGAAGCTGTTATATAAGCAGGGGTTCTGCCAAGGTGCCTTTCCCAACTCATGTGTTGAAATCCTTATACCCAGTACCTCTAAATGCTACTGTACTTGGAGACTGGATATTTAAAGAAGTGATTGATTCAGTTAAAATGAAGTTATTAAGGTGGGTAACAATTGAATATTATTCGTGTTCCACACAAAGAAGAAATTTGCACACAGGTAGAGAGGAAAGACTGTGTTTAGACAAAAGGACCATGAAGAAAGAAGCCCCTGGTAGGAACCACTTTTGCCAACACCTTAGGCTGAGACTTGTAGCCTCAGATTGTGAGACAATGATTTATGTTGTTTAAAGTACCCAGTGGGTGGTACTTCGTTATGACAACCCAAGGAACTCATGCAGGCTATATTTACAGCTGTTGAGCATCCTTGGAAGATATTTGTCTGCACTGAGTGAAGACTGGTCCTTAGCAGAGACCAGATGCTCCTTGCACTTCTCAGTAAGAATCATCTTGAAATGGGAAGTTTGTTACTCAATAGTTCAAGGACTGTTAGAGTGGGAGGAAGGGAGAGACAGTAAGTGGATGTGATCATTTTTTTAAAAATCAAATTTTAAATGTTTCTAAATATATAACTTATTTTTATTTTATGGGCATTGGGGTTTCGCCTGAACATACTAGGTCTGTGTGAAGGTGTCAGTTTTCCTGGAATGGGTGTTATAGACAGTTATGAGCTGCCACGTGGTTGCTGGGAATTGAATCCAAGTCCTCTGAAGGAGCAGTCAGAGTTATTAACTACTGAGCTAACTCTCCAGCCCGATAATTTTTTTTCAAACTGTATCAAAAAGTCCTCCTTGGATTTCTTATTACAAAAGTGTCGTGTGCTCATTGTAAAAAGTACTTGGAAATACAGTGCATAAAGTGTAGAAACCGTATATTTGTGATCACATTTATTTTCCAGACTTTTTCATGAACACACACATCTGTGTACACAGTACACAGCATACATGTAAATGTACACACTTGCAAACATTCTGATAGGTCTTGCTGTGTGGCTTTGTAGGTCAGACTGTCCTTGAACTCATGATCTCCTCCTCAGCTTCCTAAGTGTTCAGATTACCGGCATGCATCATGACATCACTCTTTGATATCAGTGAGAATCATTTCCAACATCTGGTACTGCTCCACTCATCACTTACACTCTAGAGAGCGTGCCTGTAGGTGGATGCATCTAGTGTTTGCCATATGCTGCGGCTTTGATATCTATTTGCCAAACTACCTTACAGAAAGGATGTACCCACTTTCATTAGTGTCTGTTCCAAGTCCAACAGAAAGCCTGTTACCAATAACTATAGACTTAGCTGCCCACAGGCTGACTGTGAATTCCCTCCCAGGGAGCAAAGTATGGAAAGTGAGGCCCCTGAAAACTGTGCTAGGAGTGACTCAGGATGCTGCAAGAGGCATGACGAAGAGTACACACCACTGGAGGACAAGGCACTTCCCGGCTTAGCAGAGTGACAGGTGACAGCAAGCATGGCAGGATCAGCATGTCCTTGCCACTGAGATGGAAGCCATTATCTCTGCCAGGTAGGGCCATATCAGGTCAGCATCTAGGAGACTATTTGGAGAACATGACACTAGTAGGGGTGTGGGGAGTGAAGAAGTGTGAAGCAAGGACTTGCGTTGCTTACTTGAGAGGGGAAGGGAGGTCTCTGAGGACCTCCAAGGAAGCTGGGAAGGGCTGGCAGGCAGAGGTTCCAGGGGTTCACTGCAGGGAGCTGTGATCATTACAAGCTCTGACCCCTGGTTGTTCATGTTGTCCCCTGAGCTTTGAGAGCCTGGGAAAACACAGGTTATGCTAGGGAAAGGGAGTATACAGCCTGGTGGCCTTTGCAGTTTGTATGCATTAATGGAAGATGCTATTTGATTCTGGTTCTTTGCCCAGTATAAGGGATCCCAAGGGGGCACACTTAAAAGGAAAACTGAGTTAATTTTTGAATTAAAAAAAGTATCTCATAAACATGAAAATTATGTGTCACTCAATGAAATGTTGGCAAGAAACCTTCTGGCACATGACATGGTAAGATAGGTTAATTCCTCTTGGGAGAGAATTTTATTTATCATTAAAAGGCTTCAGAGCTTCACACAGAACTTCACAACAAGCAGCAATCTGTGAGTTTGTGGTCGATGGAGTGTAGGAGAAGGGAGGACAGTTTCCTTGTGTCTAGAAGGGTGCTGTTACCACTCACATTTCAGGATATTCATAATGTACCTGCTTATCTTTCTACTTTGAGTCTTTGCTGGCCAGACATAACACACACACACACACACACACACACACACACACCCCAGCAAGGAAGGAGGTCACAGTGATCTTGCAATAAATACAGTCTAAATAAGAAGGAAGAATTAACAAAATGGTTCCTCTCTCTCTCTCTCTCTCTCTCTCTCTCTCTCTCTCTCTCTCTCTCTCTCTCTCTCTCTCTCAATGTGGAACTAGGCCTGGAACTCAGGGTCTCACACATGATGAACTCTAACCTCGTTCTACATTTCTAGCCCCTTGCCTTCTCTGAGATATAGATTTAGCTGCGAAGTTGCTTCTCAAAATTAACCTATGTTCTGTGTATTTACCCACAGCAATGAATATATTCCCAATAAAAATAAAACAATTTCTGGTACCTTCCGTGGCACCACAGAATCATTTCAAAATGGCACAGCAGCCTATCAAGGTAAAAGGAGTCATGGAAAGCAGGCTTACCGTCTATCACTGGCTTTGGCTGCGAGCTCTTGAGGCGTAGGGAGGGCCTGAAGCGGGTTCGGTCGTTGAAGCTCCAGCTCTTCTGCACTTTGGTGGGGCTGCCCTCAGCAGTGATGTCAGTGCTCGGGGACCTCCTGTCACCTACTGATGCTTGTCTGCTCTTAATGCTCTGGCCCCTCGGGCTAGCCATGCGCACTCTCTCCTTAAAACTCAGCTTCTGACTGTGAAGAACAGAGCCATGATTATTCCATCTCAAAAAAACTTCCTTCTTTTCCACATGGGCAAATGGCTTGATGGGATTGCATACGGTTATATACATCAGTAGGCAAGAGCGTGTTCAGCAAGTAGGAGCATAGAACTATTTTCCATTTTGAAAACCAAATTTAACTTCATTTGTTCATGGTCTGAGGTCAGTCTCACTCTTATGGGTATATGCATGCTTCTTCGATTTATGCAGGAAGAAAAGAGACCAGACACAGCAGTTTGTACCCAATTTCACTGAAGATGATCAAGAATGGATGTGGAATTCACTTTAGAAACTGTTAGGTGATTGTAGCTTTCCTCCCCACTGGTGAGTTTTTTTTTAAGTTCTTTTTTCTTTGTCTGTGTATCTGGGATATCTTTGTATGTAATTCCTAAGCATCTCTACAGGTAAACAGGGGTGATGATTACATATGTACCTATATTCAGCATGCATTGTATATCCCAGGCAAGATTATGGTATCCATAAATTCATGCAATCTCAAAGCAATTGACAGCACTGCACACATACATTAAACACACAACACTTGATATGACGTTCTTCATTCTTGGGAGAAGAAATCACACTGGGTGGAACAGCCTCAACATGTAATGAATGGGATGACTGACAGAATGAGATGCAATGCTCACTGGCACAATTTCCTGCTACGAAAACAAGCTATTGATTTGCTGTGGCAGCTACTGGTAAGATCACAGTTGTTTGAGCATTCTGTTCTCCGACACCTCGTAGGATCATGCTGCCATGGGCTGATTAAGGATGTATTAACAACAAATCCCAAATGTATCCTCAGCCTTTCCTGGTTAAGATGTGTATCTTGTGTGATGTGCTAGGAGGAGCAGGTAGGAGGGCTGTGGAGTTCCCTGGCTCACGTGAAGACAAGATTAACATAGCTAAAGCTGTTTTCTAGAAATCAAATGAAACGTGGAGAGTATTGTACGCCCCAATCTTGTTTTCTTGGTTCACTTATGAAGTGCTGCACTATTCATTAGGAAGTAGCCCACTGTTATCAATGTGAGGGACCCAGTGCTCCTCAAGGACGGAAGAAATAATGGGGCAATGGTTCTGAGGGTGAGTCGCTTAGCACAGCTCTTGCGAGTCATGCTGCAGCCTTTGTGGGGGATGAAGGCAGCGTGCTTATGGATAAGGACTGTCTGAGACCAAGTGAAGGCCTTGACTTTTCCACTTACCGCAGTGTCCACTGTCCCCAGCTGCAGCATGCCAACAGCAAATGTGTTTAGTGGATATGTGATTGGCAGCTAACAAGAGATAAGTAACATTTGTTTTCCCATGCCTAGTTGTTTAACATCTGGTGTTCTAAAAAGATACCATGTTTAATGTGCATTTGCTTATGTGAAAACAAATCAAATCATGGACAATGGTGGTCAGAGAGTCTGGTTAACAGTAAAGGAGTTGACCATGCAACTGACATCTCCTGTCCCAAATGCAGACACAGCCACTTCCAGCACAACCAGCTGAAGGCACATGCAGGCTGGGCAGTTTTGTGATGAGGTCATGTGAGTTCAAGAGCTCTCTGTACAACAGCCCCATCAACCACAGGGTTTATCTGTATTTGACAAATGTATGATTAAGTGATAGATTACATTAAACAACATCAACAGAAAACATCCTAAGACCACATAGTTTTATGCTCTTGTTATTTAGAGAAATCTGTCGAAGAGGTAAGTGAAAAAAAAAAAAGTTTACTCTTATTTAAAAGATTTTTAATTATAAGAATTTTCAATATTTTAAAATTCAGTACATCTGTACCATAGTTTAAATTTATGATGATCTAGTTCAGGAGACATATGCTTATCTCTGCATCATCACTGTGATGAATGGCTGCCTCAAGTAGACTCTGCCACCACTGCAAGTGCCCTCACTCTGTTTGATCGCGTCTCTAACTTTTTTTTTTTGGGAATTAATGCTAATTGAAGCATTGAGTTTAGAAGCTAGAAAGTGATTTTTCTCCAACTTCCAAGATATGCCTCTTTCTTATACTAACTAAATGAACAAATATCTGATAAGATCATAAAACAATTAATATAGCTTCCATCTTATTCTTTTTTAAGAATTACAATTTGAAAAAGGTAGAAAGTTTCTAAAATACAACATCATCAAACTTGTCATGATTTATTTGAGACGACAAGAATGTTTAAAAATTGCTCCTAAAAATGTGTTAATGAAACTTCTATACATTAATGAAAATTGGGAGGATAGTCTCTAAATCTCAGCACACTAAAAGATATAAATTAATTCTAGGTACCATCTCCTTTTTGGTTTTCTTTAAATTTATTTTAATTTTTTTTTTTGTGTGTGTGTGGGTGTGTGTGTTTGGGTGTTCTGTCTGTCTGTGTACCCTGTGCATGCCAGTGTTTAGAGGCCTGGAAAGGACACCAGATCCCCTAGAAATGAAGTTACAAACAGTTGTGAGCCACCATGTGAGCGCTCAGAATCCAGTCTGGGTCCTGTGGAAGAGTGTTCCATTCGGCCCCCTCCCCCAACTCCTTTTTTCCTGGCTTTTCTAAAGTACAAAAAGATTTGCTAAATTCTAACATGAAAACAAAACAAAACAGAAAAGAAAAAGCACACTAAGTTAATGCAGGGTGGCACATGCTTTTAACACCATCACTTGGGAGGCAGAGACAGGCAGATCTCTGTGAGTTCAAGGCCAGCCCATTTACATAGCACATCCCAGGCCAGCCAGGGTTATTTAAGGTGACTGTCTCAAAAACCAAAGCAAAACCAGACCAAATCAAACCAAACTAAACCAAAACAAAAATCTAAATAAAATTTAACAAATTACTAAAATAGAGAAAATGTAATGTTTTCTTTTGTCTTTAAGAATATGAAAGTTTAGAACAGCATCCTAATCCAGAACAAGTTTTTTTCCCAAGGAAAAGTTCTGTTCCTGTGATCTCTCATGGGAAGTTTTCTTTTATTGGTTGGTCTATTTCATTTCCCCTTTGGACATCAACAGAGCATCTTGATTAGATGACTAGTGAACTGATTAGGTGGCTGTTATTGAAAATACACATCAATTCAAATTATAGACACTTCACTGGTACATAAAAGTTTCCATTACTTTCTTGGGTTTTGTTGACATTTATAAACATGACTTTTGAGGAAGATTTTCTGTCACAGCATTTTCAGGAAGCATGCCAGGGATGATCCCCAGGAGAGCAAGTAAGTCTTTCTTTGGAGAAAGAAAGCAAAAGGTCGCGATGGTCATTGATTGGGGCATCTAAGTACGCAATCTCATGTTCCCAGCTGAGCACCATGCTCAAGGGAGCCTGCACAACTGCTCTGCAAGGGAATTCATCCTTCTCTAGAACCAGATGTCCAAATCACTCTGATGGCCCAGCATGCACTCCACTGTTAGATGCTCGCTGCCAGGAAATCTTGTGGCATCGTAACTCCGCAGCAATCCACCAGGGCTTACAATGCCGCCGTTATTGTTATACACAATCAGGGTTTTAGCCCTTCATAGGATAAGCTCGCTACAAACTGTCGCCTCAGGCACAACATGGCAACCCAGCCATTAACAAACCAGCGCGTGCAACAGCTTAGCAGTTGTCCAGCCACAAGGAGGCGCCAACAGGCTGACTGCCAGCACTATGCCTGCAAGTTGGTTTTTTTTTTTTTCCCCCCTCTCCTTTTGGCTCAGTGGTGGAGTATCAAAGCAGGCAACAGGCAACAAGGAAAATCACAAGCGCGCTGAAAACCTCATCCAAGAAGTCCCTAGGAGAGTGAGTCTGTAAACAGGGCCCAGGTGTAGTGGCGTAACCTGGTCATGCACCTGAGGTTAGTTGGCATTCTCAAATCTCATGTCAACAGCTGGGATGCTGGGTACCTCTGCTTCCGTGAGGTGTACATTCTGAAGAACTTCTGCTTATTATTACAGAACTTACTAGGAGTGAGGGAAATAGAGCAGTGCATTACTAAGCGTTTCTCCGCCAGCACAGCGCTGAGGGCTTTCTTTTTCTAAAGACAAGCCATTCAATTTTACTTTTTTTTTTTTTTTTTTGGTTTTGTTTTCATCCATATGTATATGAGAAGACAGAGTACGAAAGCAGCGAGTACTCTGCGGTTCAGTTGCGCTGCCTGTTCAGAGACACAGCCAGGGTTCTTATGGTTAGGCTGAAACAATTAGATGGGAAACAAGCATTTACAAACGATGGTAGTATGTGTTAGGATCTGTTTCATATGAGATGGGAAGATAAATACTGCAGAGTACAGCAACTTCTGTAATAACTATTAGTGAATATAGTATAAATAAGGGGGAATCAGATATTTTAGGAAATTTAACAATGATTATTTCCAAAAATCAACGAAGTAGATAACATTAGTTGCTTTGGAGTTGAACACACACACACACACACACACACACACACACTCACATACATTCTTGGTTTGTGTGAAACTGAAGTTATAGTTAGTATAGGTAGATGGTTGCCAGGTTGAATACCTGTTCAAAAGCAAACAGAACAAAGGGTTCTAGATCACCAGTTTGTAAACACAAAGCAGTCGCTTATTTATTAAGTTTGTGGCTACTTATATATATATATATAAAAAAGTAAACCCTTCCCTTCTATAAATGTTGTGAACAGATGGAAAGGTTGCTTTTAAACCATCTAATATTTTGCCAGTAAGATCTGAACTGATCATGTTGGGAGAGAAGTCTGGTCTCACTAGGTTTAATTGAACAACACATTCAGGTCATTCATTCAGTGTACACAAAAGAAAAGCAAGTAGTAGACAATAAATGCAGAGGAAATGGAAGGGGATGGTGCCTTCCACAAGCATTCTAGAGTTCTTTCCCAGGAGCCACATCCAAAAGAGCCAACTCACGGCAGTGGTTCCGACAGAGCACCGGATGAAGTAGAGTACATGAGTGTAATGACTGTGCCTTAGCACGTGTGACATGACTCTTAATTCAGCTTCACAGCTGTCTTAGAGGGCCAAAACAGCTTTAGGGATGCCCTACAGACAGAAAATAAGGCAGTATCACCTCAGCAGGGACACGATCTGCCATTGTTTACCTAGAAGACAGGACAGGCAGGGGGATTTACAATTAACCCTGCACTCTCCTGCTTTTGTAGGGGTAAAAACCTAGGCAGGAAGAGGTAAAACTCTTCTCATAGCAGTGCAATGATACGATGGATGACCACTATGACGACCTAGTCAAGGAGGGAGGAAAGACAGAAACTCTAGGTTAAAATCCTGTGGTGGGATGGCCAGATGAGTTCACAGGTAAACCCTCTTCTCAGAAAATGGCAACATACACCATTGAGGGAAGGACTGTTCAATTAAAAAAAAAAAAAAGTTGGAAATGCTACTCAAATAGAGGATTAATTAGAATAGAATCAATAAAGACATTACCATATATTTTTGATCAAGACCATTTTAGTGAGAATATGAGGGAAAGAAGGATAATAGAATAATAATGCCAGAGAAGATGGGATTATGATCTAAGTAGAAGAGGTACTTGAACCTCTATCCAAAGTAGCCAAAGAATCATTATTTTCATTATTACCCAGTTGAGCTATGTTTATACAAAGCTTCACCTGGATCTTACATGTTGCAGTTTTAAATAAAGATTTGTATCTTTCACGGTGTTGCTTAGCCTGGGGTGTCATAGATGAGCTTTGTTGAAAGCATATCTTAGCTTCAGGGAAAGTAAAACTTCTCTTTTCAGCAAGAACTCCCTGAAGCAGTGAACATAATTAATCAAGGGTGACTTGAATGGGTTTGACCTCCATCCATTTGCCTTCTGTGTTTGGGGCTCTTACACTGTGGCAGAGCCAGCAGCCTCAATAAGAAGTGGTACCCACAGTGTTGAGCTCATCTGCAGTTTTTAACCAGTAAGAGTACCACGCGGGAGGGCTTAGGAGATTCCAAAGGATTAAAAGAGAATCAGTTTCTTCTGGGGTTGACACTTGTCTGTTCTGTTTATCTAAACCACATCAATAACCCAGTGGCCACAAAGGCAGTGAAGGACTCTGCAGTTAGGAGGTACGGATTAATTAATTCATTTGAAATTAGGTCAAGCATTAATTAACAGTATTCTGAACCTGAATTGCTCTTCTCTAAGGAAGAGCTTCATTATAAATGCATTTTCTGTTGTGCATATTTTGCTTCAGTAAAGATAGATCTGTTATTTTCTAAGATGGTGCTGTTGTTACTGCCATTACAATAGTCTTTTTTGCATCCGTTATTCCAATGTTCTGAATTCCATTGTCTGTGGAGCACAAGGGAAAAGCTAAGGCAATAATACAGCGGGGGCTTCAATGCATATACATTTTTATGGCGTGTGTCAATTATTTCCTTCAGGTTGTTGCAGTGTTGTGTTTTTAATGATTACGTGTGTGTGTGTGTGTGTGTGTGTGTGTGTGCGCGCGCGTGTATGACTACAGAAGCCAGAAAAGAATAAGGAGGAGCTCGTGGAGCTGCAGCTGCAGGTGTAAGCCCCTTGGCATGGCTGCTGGGAGATGAATGTGGGTCTTCTGCAAGAGCAGTATGTGCTCATAACTGCTGGACCAGCTCTCCAGCCCCACTGAGATATTTTTAAAAAACTTTTTATCTCTGTCTATTTGTTTCTCTGTTCTTTCTCTTGGTTGTGTTTTACAAAAAGGTTTTGGGGGTCAGGGAAATTTTATTCTTCCAGCCAAGGATATTTTATTAAGCACATTCTCTGTAATCACCTTTATGGGGAATGTAATAAATAACTGTAATAACTAACTAACTAACTAAATAAATAAATGTAATAAATAACAAGTCAGCAAGAGGCTGACTTGTAGGAGGCTTGAGAAATTAAGTAGTGGCACAGGACTATTTTCAAGGTTGTTTTGTCAAATGTTCAATGACTGCTGAGAAGTGAAGAATTTCTTAGTGTCATTCCCTAAGTCATGAACCCAGCTGAGTGGTTCTGCACACTTTCAAATCTACAAGTGAACTCTCTTTGACAACCTTAGTCACAAGTCTAGTGAATAGATTTTTAACATTTTAGATAGACAGGGTATCATGGATTTTGGGAAATCTGATTGCTAAGTCTTTTGAGTTGTGACAGCTGAGCTAAAGGTTCATTTTCTGGTCTCATAAGCAGAAGCTCAACTTTAAATTTGTCTTTCTTTTCTGATATATGAACACTGGGAAAAATGTGTCGTTGGTGTTGTTACTATTGGCCCAAGGTACCTCTCTGTCAGGATTGCTAAAGAGGTCATGTTATGTTTATTCAAGCTTCTATTCATGATTTATAATTTCCCTTTTGGCTGTTAAAATTCCATTTTGAAGGATGAAACCAAGAAAGGGGAACATCCCACAAGTATTTCTGTAATCCATGATAAAGAGTGTTTCTGCTCTTAGACTTTGGATAAATTGTAGATAGTTCTGGTACAAAGCCCTTTAAATTTCACTAAGAAGACCAAATGTAACTATTGTTTTGTGTAACTGTTTTCCAAGTTAGTAGTCATGATAGAGGATGGTGTGGTCTGTGTGGAATATGGGAAAAGGCCTAATGGTTAGAGCTGGCCATCTTGACTCTTGGGTATCTATGCAAAGGTGATGTTTGGTCTAAAGACAGGTATCTCTTGAAAATAACTCTTCTGGTAGCTAAAACTTTCTGGAGATCATTGCTTATGAATACCCAGTGTTCTTTGCTCTACCTCTTATCATTCTCAAGTAAGAGAGGGTCCTGGATGCATTGGCTCACCTGCCCAGAGGGAGAACTTGAGCTTATGGCTCGTACTGTATTCCTCACCTGCCATAGATGAATGCATGCATGGCCTGGTCTGGGACTGGGAATAGTTTTCTTTTCTTTTCCTTTCTTTTTTTCTCTCCTTTCCTTTCTTTTCCTTGCATTAATGGAGAAATGGCCAACACTTATCACTCCAAAGGGAGCTTCAGAACGAATTCAGTACTGTATACATATTTTATAGTCGATATCATCAAAGACCCTCACTAGAAGCTATTTTCAGGACAGGGGGAAGATGCCTTTTTTTCTTTACTGAAGCAAGTGGCAATGAGAGAGAGAGAGAGAGAGAGAGAGAGAGAGAGACAGAGACAGAGACAGAGAGAGAGAGAAACAACAAAAAGCAAAGCAAAAACAAAACAAAACAAAAAAACAAATCCTTATGACCTATGTCCTTTCTATTCTAGGCATCTTCCATTTTTTGTTATCTGTCTGTTACTTCTTCAGTGTGGGGATCTATCTGGTCCTGCCCTTCAGATACAGATGAAAATTCCTCTCTTGGCTTCTGTTCCCTATGAGTTTTTCTAGGAGGAAGAGCCATGAGTCATCTGGAGAACTTGTGGAAGGGCTGTCTTCCTCCCAAAGAAGATATTTTTTTTTCTGTGGAACTGTTAACCTGAGTTGATTTCATTGCTCTTGGTGCTGGAGATAGCCCACATAGGCAGTTCATATCTCTTGTCCCTAACATACTTCTTGCCAAATAAAAATAGAAAAGAAAAAGTTCTTATCACAAGACAAGCACCCTAATGTAGAAAAGTCTGTCCTAGACTGTTGTCCATGCCAGCAATATTGTTTTTCTCCTGTTAGGTCGTTTAATAACTGCATTTGAATACTTGGGAAGGACTTCTGTTTGGGACAGTGGCAGACAGGAATAATCAAAGCCTATGATTATTATGCCCCTCAATGTTCCAAGCCTTACAGATCGTTAAAAAAAAAAAGCACTGAGTGGGTTAGAGAAAGATACTTCAATTCCCAAGGAGGGGAAAAAAATCAATACAACCCAGTAAACTTTGCAGGCAATCTTGTGAAAGGTCACTTTTAATCGTGTTGTATTTGTTGATCGATTTTACTCATGGGGCACACGTAAAACATCTGTTAGGCATCTGGTTTATAAACAAACATGTAACAAAAGAGAAATCACAAACCTGCTTGATGCCTCCCCTTGCTCTTTCCTTCAGGTGCGTGCAGACAGAAGAGAAATGATGATAAACCAGTGAATACATTTATAGCATTTGATAATGGCCCAAAACGGGAGACAGTGAAAATCAGGTACCTTAAGTAACTCTTCTTCAGCACAGTCCATAGAAGCAATGCTATTTATAATCACTGCACACAGCTTTCAAACATATGTTCTTTGTGGCAGATCTGAGACAGCACAACATTACTTGGCAAGGCCGGTACTGCCCACCTACAGCTGAATACCACACACTGTTTGGTTAAGAGACAGCGGCTCTAGTCAGAGAGACTCTGGCCAAAGCTCTCAGAGTGTTGCTGATTCTCATGTGGTTGTAGTCCCTGTGTTTTGGGCAAACTTTTGGATTCAAGACATGGGGACTTTGAGCTCATGGCTGTGCTCTTGTTTCTCAGTCACTTACTGATGTAGATGTTTTTCTTTCTCTTATAGGAACAATTGAATTCCCTTGGAGTAAATAAGGTGCATAGAAAATCTGAGCCCTTACATTCCACCGCTGTGTGGCATTTGTAATTACTCATTTGGCCAGGGTTGGGCATTGGTAGCATGCTGTGGGATGGCTCATTTGCAAAAAATTGTGGGCTTTGGCCTCACTTTCTTGTGGGTCCCAGTGCTAAATGTAAAGACATTATAGCAGATAGCGTCTAAAGTGTGACTCCTCAAAACACCTTATGGCAGGCACCCCTGCAGCTTGGTAATTTCCCACAGCTTCTTAAAATATCAGACTCATTCTTTGAGATATCACATTTAGCTGGGATTCACCTTTCGTAGAACCTTCACTCATTTTGAGAAGAAAAGTCGGGAAAATACTTTTCTCTGTAAACCCTCCTCTCACTAAAATGAAGCTTTGAAACAGAGATGGCTCAGATCTCATGTACGTAAGAGGAAAACGGTGGCCTGGAATGAGAAGGAACTCTCTCCTTTACGACCATGAATGGTGTGAAGAGGGGTCAGGGTGCCAATTCCCCTGCATCTTCCAGACTCCGAGAGTCATTTTTGAGACCCAGCTTTCATTCTACTCTTTGAGATGAGCTTGGGGAGTGAAAGCAACAAACACATCTCAGAACAGTGGGGAACCAGAGCACCTGCCTGGTGCTATTTAGTGACAGTAATGTCACTGTTAGCGGTGATGAAGATGAGCAACCTCATTTCTTAACACTGCAGCCCTAACTTGCTTTCCTATTTACATTTCTCCTCAAAACTTTCCCAACATTTCCTTTTACTGTCTATTCTTTGCATCATTTGAGTGTCTACTTCCTGATCCGTGAATGAGACTTGAACTTATTCAGCTTTCTCTGGCTGCTTCCTGTTTTGCCTTGTGTGTAGTAAGTGTTTAGTGAGCACTTGCAGAATGGAAACACAGACGAGTGAATGCTCTTTCTCTTTTAGAGTCATTGAGATCTGAATGCTAAGGAGGAATATACTATGCAAAAAGGAAGTTTTAGTCTTTTTCATTCTATCGCCCTGCGTTCAGTAAGCTAGCTCATTTTAAGTGAAACCATTCTCCAGCTCATTTTAAATTATTTTTCTCACAAACAGAAACCTTACTGGAGTAGGTTTGCTTTCTAAAGCAAAAGGTTCTGGGCTTGGCTCCAGGGGGTCTGAGAATATATTAAAATTGTAGGCAGAGTTTTGTCTCTTGTGTATGTGTGTTCATGCCCACTGGATATTAAACTTGGGAAAAGGACATCATTTTTCTTGCATCTCATTGACTTAACAAAGAACAACCATAACAACAGCAATGGTTATGAACCACAAAACAATGAAGTATATATATCTCTGGAGTGATATGTGTCAGGCTCCTGGGTTCCATGCAGGGCACCAATGACTGCTGTGTCCTTTGGGATGAGTCACTGCTTTTCAGTAAGTGGGACTGAGATTTCAAGGAAAAGTGAGTGAAGGCATGGCTGGTGGCCTCAAGGGGACAGGAGGAAGGTATGTGTTTGACGCAATACTCCTCCACCTCTGCCCCAAAACGGGATGATGGAAAATAGAAGCATAAAGTAGTCTATGAACAATGTACTAGGAAAGGCACTTAGAGAATTTGACTTAGTTTTTCCAGACCTTGTAATGACTTTTAATCCAAAGCTGCCATGAGTGGGAAGCCAGATCATCAAATATATTAACAAACCTATGTCTTTTGTCACTTGAGATGCTCTATCAGCTTTCCAACTAGTCTTCCTCTTTTACATTTATCCAGAACATTTACCAAAGATGAGAGCTATAGTTCACATATATACTGCTCTTCAAGCAATCACCCTGTAAAATTAGGTGGTAGGCCAGGTGATGCTTGCGTTTCAAGAACTATGGCTTATAAGAGGAAACATTAGAAAACGACCATTTCTGTACACAATTTACATTCTTTAAGGCTTCAGTCATGGCCTATGGTTGGTGAGGAATGATACTGATTCCGTGTAGTTTCATGGTTGAGTTGTTAAATAGGTTTCGACATCTTTAAGAGCAACAGAGAGAATAAAACAAGTCCCAAACTGGGACTTCTCTGCACACATATGGTTTGTTTAACAAACTAAAGAAGACACAACCCCAGCACCATCTGTCCCACTGATACCTACTTGGTCGGGCTGCAGGTGTGCAAGGCCTTCAGATGTGGCTTCCAGGTTGCAATGGAAACAGACTTCTCATCAGCTGCATAGCTACGCCAAACACACTGCATATGGCACACAGGGTCACAAGAGAGAGCAGGGAATAGAGTGAAATGAAAAGGAGGAATCATTTGGGTAGGCTTGTCTACAATATATGATCATTTCTGGCCTATGAAACATAAAGCATCATGATGTGATCCTTACCACCTAAGTGTAAATTAAGAGTCCTGTTTTGTAGATGAGACCATGAATGTCAGTCAGGTAAAGGGTCCCAGTCCAGGTTGGGAAGATTAAGGAAGTGCCTTTCGTTGATGGTCTCTTGGTCACAACCTCCGCTGGGGATTTTCCTGATTGTTTTATGGCAGTGGTTGGAAGAACGTCTGAAGTGTCCATTTGAGAAATCACCTGTACTTACTTTTCCATGCAGAGTTTGGAGTTTGGTAAATTTATTCTTTTCTAATGAGCCCACAAATAACTCTAAATACATAGCCAAGCATTTGCTCCAGTTTCTTTAGAGAAAACCTTGTATTATGATTCATTACTTAGGGAGTTCTATTTTATGTGGCAAACACATCTAAATGGGTCACATCCTTACCGTATAACCATCAGTCATTATTTTGAAACACAGTGAAGAAAAAAGTGATCTAATTATATTTTGTCTTCTAAGAATATCATTGACTTGGCAAAAAAAATTAAAAAATTGCTGTAACTACTTTGAAAACCTGTCTGGCAGAATTATTGAGTTGAATCTATGAACGCATTATGATACAGACATTCATTCCCAGGTAAATGTAATAGGTATGCTTAAATATAGTCACCGAAACATATGCGCTACACTTTGGCTTTTTATTTAAAGCTTGAAATGCCCACGTATCTATCAATAGCAGTGTAAAACAGAAGTCTTATATCATGGTCACATATTGTAAGGTGTCTAAATAGCAACAGTTCTCTTGACAATATGGATGGACGTCTTGTGACTAATGTTGTGTACTGTAAACAAGACTCAATAGAGAACTTTCTATAAAGTTGGGAAAATACGCTATGGTAGCAGAGCAGTGCCCCTTGTGGGATAGTGATGGAGAAAGGGTATCTAGGAAGTCATATTTTGTTTTTCTGAGAGTTGGTTACACAGGACTGCTTAATTCTCCTAGGAAATGTACTCTTTTCTGCCTGCACATACTTCAGTGAAATATTCAGAAAGTGATATGAAAAAAAATTAGAAAGACACACAGTAGAACCTGAGGGATTTTATGTTTTCAAAGGTTATTTATTTATTTATTTTACATGTCCTAAGCAGGATTCACTGCCTGAGTGCTTCCCCACGTAGCTTGTGTTGATTCAGCTGATAAATCTGTGGAAATCTGTGTTAAGCAGCTTGATGTCTTATAGATAACAAGTCAATTGGCATCGTATTCTCTTAAAATTGTAGCATTTGGGGTTGTTTATATAAACCTTTTAGAGTGATCCAGACTAACTAATAGGACACAGAGATATTGTTGTTTTCAGCTATGGTTGTTGGAGACATTGTGGCACAAACCTGTCCTGAATCTGAGGTGATCCTCCAGCCTCAGCCTCCTAAGTGCTGAGATTTCAAGCTGGACTTACTGGAGTCGTTTCTGTTGGAGTGAGGCGGAGAGGTCCTTAGCTGGTGTGGGAGTATAGTCGGCTACTTTAATTAAACAGTTTTCATAGAGGTATGATGCGTTTCTGAGACCCAGACTCTGAAAGTAAGACTTTTGTGCGTCTAGACACATCCAGCAGGACCGTGCATTGTTCAACAATAGTGGGAAAAACATACAACAACAATATGTCAAAAAATGGGGTCAACATTACCTGTTAAGTGCCATAAACCACTGGGGAAAAAGAGATTCTTGAAAAATTGAAGACTTTCTTTACACAATATGACTTAATTTCTTCATCCTTTTCTATCAAATTGAGTTTAACAGCTGGGCAGTGTTATAACGAACATGGCTGTGCAAGCATCTCTGTGGGGTGCTAACTTAGGGTCCTTCTGGTACACACCCATGGGTGGGTCACTGGATCAGAGGGCAGTTCTCCTTTTTCTCTTAAGAATCCTTTCTTTTAAGGATTATGCTCTCATTTCTAACCAATTTTTGACTATGGGAGACAATAAAGTAGCCCACTCACATTCCGTGTTTGCTTTCTCTCACCCTGCCGACATTCTTATTCTTATATCTTAGTTTTTGGCCGTTAGTGTTTGAAGGTTTTTTTAAAATTAATTTATTAATTATTTTTGAGACAAGGTTTCTTTGCGTAGCTTTGGAGTCTGTCTGGGAACTGGCTCTCATAGACCAGACTGGTCTTAACTCACAGAGATCTGTCTGCCTCTGCCTCCCTAGTGCTGGGACTAAAGGCGTGTGCCACCATCACCCAGCTGTGCTTGCATTCTTATAACCATGTCAGCATTGTCTCCAGTGTGCCGGTGTAAAAAATGTCAGTATAACTCAATTTTCTGTGCCTGCGTGTTAGGCCAGGGAGTATTTAGTTTGACTAACCACTAAGTGCTATGACTACCTTTTCTTTTCTATTTATTTATGTTTGTGTAACAATGACTACATATGTAGCTTTATTTGCAGTTACTATTGTCTTATTTTCATTTTGGGGTTTGCATTCATTGCAAAGTTACGGCATTCTTGATTTTTTGGGAAGAAACAGAAAATCCTTGCAGTGCAATGCATCACAGAATCTATGCATTCCGTTTCCATTTGCTCCCCTATGCTCAGTTCCTGCTCACCCTGCTGGCATTCCTGCCTCTAACGTGAGAAAATGCTCCCATCCAATTGCATATGGGTATGTCTGTCGGGCATTTCCTTCATTAATAGTTGCTGTGAAAGGGCCCGGCCCATGGTGGGTGGTGCCATCCCTGGACAGGTGGCCCTGGGGGCAAAAGGATGCAGGCTGAGGAAAACATTAGATGCACCTCAGGGAATTCTGAGGAAGCGGGGTGGGGAGGATTATAAGAGCCAGGGTGGTCAAGGTCACCACAAGAAAACTCACAGAATCAACTAACCTGGGCTCACAGAGACTAAACTGACAACCAGGGAGCCTGCATGGGGCAGGCCCAGGCACTCTGCATGTATGTTACAGTTGTATAGCTTGCTCCTGTTATGGGACTGCTAACAGTGGGGGCAGCTAACTCGGACTCTTTTGCCAGCTTTTGGAACCCTATTCCTCATACTGGGTTACCTGTTCAGCCTTAATGCAAGGGGAGGTGCCTAGGGTTACTGAAACTTAAGATGCCATATTTAGCTGGCATTCATTGGATGCCTGTCCTTTCCTTAAGAGAAAGGAGTGGATGGGGAGGGGGAGGGAAGGTTGGGAGAAGAGGAAAGGGACAAATTTCAGTTAGGATGAAGAGAGAATGAAAGGGAGAGAGAGAGAGAGAGAGAGAGAGAGAGAGAGAGAGAGAGAGAGAGAGAGAGGGAGGGAGAAGAAAAGAAGGAAGGAAGAAGGAAGAGCAAGTCATGGGGAGAAAGCCGGTAGTTGGCATTCTTTTATGGCTTCAGTTCCTGACTCCAGGTTCCTGCCCTGAGTTCCCTAGATGGTGGCCTGTGATAGGCACATGTGAGCCTTTCCTCCCCACACTGCTTTTGGTCATGGTGTTCTATCACAGCAAAGGGGAACAAACTAGGACAGTAGGTATATTTTGGGGTTCTTGGAAAATTCTACATTTCTTTGTGTTATTGTCATACTCCATGAATGGTTTGGCTTGGTGTGGAATGCTAGGCTGCCAGTACTCTTTCTTTCTTCATAATGGATTTATTTCCAAGAGTTCAGAGTGCTGAGTTTCTAGGGAGATATTGGATGTCACACAATTGTCATCCTTTGCATGTGCTCAGCTCTGAAGACATTCACGATGCCCGATTTTACAAGCATTCTGCTATGTCTCTGTGATAATCTTGTTTGAAGGTTTTGGTTCATAGTGCTTGCATTTGGTGGGCTCTCTTACTACAGATACTCTTCTCCTCTAGTTCTAGAGAATCATAGGGTACTATTTCCCTGGTAAAACCCTCTCATTAGTTTCCTTGGACTCAGTGTACTGTGAGCTACCTGTGTTAGCTGGCTCTTGGACCTCAACAAAACATTCTCCAATTTCCTTCCTTCCTTCCATCCTTCCTTCATTCTTTCCTTCCTTCCTTCCTCCCTCCCCCTTCCTCCCTCTCTCTTCCCTCCCTCCTCTTTCCCTCCCTCTCTTTCTCTCTCTTTCGTGTCTTTTTATTGCATTTTCTGAGATACTGTTACAACCTTGTGTTTCTTTCCATTTATTTTTCTGCTTCATGTTTTAATATCTACGATCTGTTTTTTTTTTTTTTTTGAGTCTGTTCTTCTCTGTGATTGAAGCATGAAAAAGGATGCATCATCTTGTAGCTTGGCAGTCTCCCTTTAGGATGGCTGAGTGAAGACCAAGTTATTTCACTAACTAAAGCTAAAGATTCGGTACGCAGTATGTTTTCTTTGGGAACAGTTAGCTTTATGGCAAGCTAATCTTCCAGCCCTCCTCTCACCATTCTGTCAGGACTGTTTTTATAAAAATTCACTTAATTGTTGTTTTTGTTTTGTAGACCTCTGATGAATTTGGTGGTGTCTACCCAGAAGCTCAGTAATGCCTGTGGAGGGTACAATGTTGGCTTTTCGACTCCTGATCTGCCCCCCCCCAAGGCCCAGGGAACATTGAAGATGTGGGGGTAAAAGAATGTAAGAGCCAGAAGATGGGGAAGAGGAGGGCTGTGAAATGTTATCCTCTGGATGTGGCATGACCATTGCCTATCATTCACAGCAGCTGTGACTATACACAGGAGATGAAGCTACTTAAAAATTCCAGCATAGATTGGGCTGGAGATCCATCCCTTTTCTTTGGGTGGATGGCCATCATCCCAGTGGATGACCCCATACTCAGGTACACACATGGACATTACAAATTGGACTCAGTGGGTTGTAAAAAACAAGAGTTGGGAGGGAGATGTGTTGGTGGGGAGCTGGGTAAATAGGATGAAGGAAGTGGGGGAACATTGTATACATGTATTGGATTTGGCCTCAGACAGCAAGGATTTAATCCTAGCTCTGATGAGGCTTATCTTGATGATCATGTGATATAACATGTTGGACGCATTCTGCAAACTAAAAAGGACTCTGTGAGTCTTAGGCATTATTAACAGAAGTTGTGACATTTGGGCAGGTATTCAGAATGTTACTGAGGGCTGATTTTGTTTCCCAGACTGCTCCACTTGGAAAGCTAATTTAAATGAGTCAGGAAAAGATATTGACACAGCTAAGTTTGCTGTGTGCTTCTGGGCTTTTCAACTATTTTCCCCTAAATCCTTGAGTTGCTGGTTAATTTAGTTCGTTCACCAACCAAATGACAAAGCAATTTGAGCATCCTACTTGCTGGGGTGGCAAGAGGGTGTCTCAGCCGCAGCACAAATGAAATTGCCTTTGATCCCGAAGCTTTGTATATTCAGAAAACCGGCAGGTTTATGTCATAAGAAATGAAGAGATCAGCAAATGAAGCTTACTTTTCAACCTACTTTATCCTTAAAAAATTCTTATCTACATTAAAAAAAATAGATTTGTATAATGTGTAGCTAAAGCCTAATCCCTTGGATTCTGTTCAGACTATGTAAAGGAGATGCAATGGACAAATGGATAATATGCTTTTCCTATGCAGCATAAATAAATAAATTTTATTAGAATCAGAGGGCAGCTACTTCCTAAATCAGCAAATTTGATTTTTTTTGTTTCCTGAAACTAAGCATATATTTTAAGGTATACTTAAACGTTTTATGTCATACAGTTTGTGCTCTGTTAATGTCAAAATTTGGAATTTTAAGTAAAATTCATAATCTCACTCTGTAATTGCCATCATTTTACAAGTTCACTTGCTAATAACAATACATGTTTCATAATCAAGTTGCACAAAATGGAACTCAAGGCCTCTGAGCTAAGCTGACATCTACACCTATTTTGGGTTGTCTTACTTTGGAGATAGAAGGAAATTCCACTTCTCTAATGACTTGATGCACCCAAAGCAATTGGTTTTGAAGTTTAGTTTGAAACTGTCTCTCACGATTCCGTAATTGATAAGGACGCAACAGATGAGGAAAGTCCCTGCCACGATTCTTGGAGGTATGTCCAATGTACCACGGCAGGTAGCTAACAGCCACTTACAGGGACCGAACATTCGATAAGTTGTTCACTTTTAATCCACTGAGCTTAAATAGCAACGCAGAGCTAGTGGTTACTGTGTTGGCAGCACAGCTCTGGATTTTAACAGTTGATGCGCACAGGAGACAGTTGCAAGTGTTTGCTTCTCCTCAGGACTGCTCACGTTCTAGGAGGTTTAATATCTGGGGGATGGTTTAGTGGTCCCATACGTAAATAATGCTTGTTGCTCAGTGGAATTCTGGGAACCCCTGGAACAAATTGTGCCCTCACGGGTTGGAGAACTGTTCTACAGTGAAGGAAAATGGAGGGTAAAGATAGAAAAGAGAGGGGAAAACAATCTGGAACCATAGGCATCAGTGATGAGTGCTCGCAATGAAAGCAGTGAGGATGCTGTGTGCCTATAGTGTGTGCTTCTATCATTATGAGATTATTGTTTGGTTTCTGACCTTTCAATACTGGAGAGTCAACAAAGGACTCATGCATGTTAGCCTTTGGCCATGAAGCTTAAGCTCCTATTAACTTAGGGACCTCTTCTGTAAGGAAGTGATTCTATTATTTTTATTTGCAATCATTTAAAAGTGATTTTATTTATTTATTTTTATGTGTATGGGTGCCTTGATTGAATGTATGTCTGTGTACCATGTGGGTGCCTGGTCCCTGCAGAGGCCAGAGGAGGGTGTCAGGTTACTAAGCTTTTAGTTACAGAAAGACATGGACCTTTATGGGGGTGCTAGGAATTGAACCAGGGTTTCCTGGCAGAGTAAGCAGTACTCTTCTCTCCTGAGCTATCTCTCCAGCCCTCATTATTTATTTTTTAAACCACTGGAAAATAGTGACTGTCAGAGGTTTGCCTTGAAATTCATGTGCGATGGTCCATTTCTTGTAAACATAGTATTGTGTTTAAAATTAGTGCCCTTATTTAGTCATTAGATACAGATTTCCTTTATGATAGAACTAAGCCACACACCTCCTTTCCTATCTTCATTTCTGTAGAGAGTAAGGCATGCCACAGACATAGGCAAAAGCTATTGGAATGGTTCTCATTGGTTATAATCGAGTAGTTCAGCCACTCAAAGTTGAGATCTAAATTAAAGCAACATACTTGCTATATCCACATATAAACCTTTCTCCTAGCACCTCATATATGTAACCCATCGTCTCCAGGTTCAAAGCCCAGGGCTTTAGCTGCTTTTTAGGAAGGGAGATAACTTGGAGTTGTAGAACTATTGTGTTCACTGTTAAATGCTAATTTCATATCACTGATTTAGGAAAATATATCCTGTGATTCTTAACCTGGTTCAAATCCCAAAAGACAGGGGAGACAACCATATTCACTGATATACCACTAATGCAGTTAAAACCCAAACCCAAGCCAAACCAAACAACAACTTCCCCCAAACAAACAAAAAAATCATGACTAGAAAAATAAATAAATAAATAAATAAATATTTTAGAAAAATGTTAGCACAAATCATGGGCTTTTGAAAAAAGAAATGAAATGCTAACACAAAGCTGATGTGTTATGAACCAGCTTCAAACAATATGCTTATTATTTAATATAGTCTAATATCAAATGCATTTTAGGCTATCTCCCTGCAAGACATTAAGTGTTATCTCACAGACATTAAACCTCAACATTCTAAACATCTATGTTTTTCCCAACAGAAGCATACAATGGGCTAGAGCAAGTCATGGGAATGCCAGGAAGGATGCTGCATTCTGCTCCATCACTTAATGACCAATTATGCTTCACACAGTGATTCATAAGATGTATTAGGTCCTTCCAGGAGTGACATGCCTGGTAACCTCTGCGCAGTGTTAGTGAGAATGGTTAATTAATCTGAACAAGGCATAGCCCATTTCCTGAAAAACATACTTTGTTGTTGTCACTGGGGAAAGGGACAACACCTGCTCAAATTCTAGGCTGTTCATTAAGGTCTGACTTCATTTTTTTATTAAAAAAAAAAAAAAAGACAGAACAGTAAGTAGCTTTCGGAAGCAATGAAGCATGATGACTAGAAAATGACCCAACAGGCACTTTTGGAGACAGATGTTGCCATCTACCTATCACACTGACATTTACCTGGATGAGGTTGGCAGCTGGGTTCCTTCTTTTCTCAAAATGTTTCTGGCGGTGCTGTTCCTGTACTTTTAATGCAAAACCTGAGCCAAGAATGCCCTGGAACGAAATACAAAATAATAACATTTGAAAGACCCCTAAAATGAATCCACTGAAAAGACAAACAGTATGTAATGTGTTGACAATAAACATAATACTTATAAAACACATCGTCTTTAGTACAACACTGCTAGGTAGTAGCAAGCTGTTGGGTGATGCTGCCCAAAGATCATGACTCTCATTCTGTAGTAAATCAACTGGATGTTACCATCCATTGATTTCTGATATAAGAAGCATCATTCTTACAAATAGAAATGATCACCAAATTCAAGTGAGTGGTTTTAAGTGATAGGATATAGGGGCGTAAACTCTGCTTTGGACTGGACTGGGGTTAGATTTAAAGTCTTGTTGCTGTAGACACGGGCTACTTTTAGCACTAAATATACTCTGGGATTGTACATTCATCCTACACAAAATCTGGAAAAATGGGGGTAAGGGTCAATAGATCCCAGCTGTAGCCCTTAAAGATAGGCTCTCAGTTTTGGAGCTAGAGGTTTTACCTGTCTGTATGACAAAAACAAGACTTACCCATTTTCCCTCAGTTTTAATCTGCCACTTTCATCATGTCTTAGCTTTTTGGGCTTTGGTTCACCTATTTGGAATTTGGGATTAGTGAGATTGATATACCCTCCTCTGCTCATGGTTTTGGTTTGTTTTGTTGTTCTTTTAAAGATTTTATTTTATTTTATTTTTAAATTATGTGTGTATTCGTGCGCGTGCGTGCGTGCATGCGTGCGTGCGTGCGTGCGTGCGTGCGTGTGTGTGTGTGTGTGTGTGTGTGTGTGTGTGTGTGTGTGTGTGAAGGTAAGAGGATTTCAGAAGATGGAGTCAGATCTTCTGGAGCCAAAGATAAGAGTGGTTGCCTGCTCTGTGTGCGTGCTGGGCAACTGAATTCAGGCCTTCTATATGAGTAGTGTGTATTCTCAACTGCTGAGCCATTAGTAGTGTGTATTCTCAACTGCTGAGCCATTAGTAGTGTGCATTCTCAACTGCTGAGCCATTGCTAATCCCAGGTGTTTTATTGTTGTTGCTGTTTGACTTCCTTTTGCTTATTATCATTTTATTTAATTTTCTCTATTTATTTATTTATTTTTTTTGAGACAGGATTTCTCTGCATAGCCCTGGCTGTCCTGGCACTCACCCTGTTGACCAGGCTGGCTTGAACTCACAGAGATCCCCCTGCCTCTGTCCCTGAGTAAGTGAACTAAAGGTGTGTGCTGCCACCACAACTACCGCCTGGCTTCATGCTTCTGGAACTGCAAACATTTTGGTTCTTTGATGTTTGCCTCTCTTTTCAGTTTGTTTAGGTCTGACATTTGTGAAATCAAGATGCCTTTCATCTCAACCTTGGGTTCACATCCAGAGCTTCCTAAGGTCAGTCTTTGTCTGTGTCCTTGATTTCATTAGTATGATACTGGCTGGGGATACCACTGCTTTCAAGTCTGCGGATTTTTACTTGCTAGCTATAAATTACTAGCCTCTAATTAAGCTTCAAGGAGTCTTTCAGTACTCTAAGCACTGAGCCAGTATCTTCTGCAGGTGACAAACACCCAATGCCCACCCTTCATCAGCTTAAAGGTGACACCTCCTGGAAAATGTGTTCGTTTATCTCTAGAAGGTATTATGTCTTGGCTATGTGACAACTCTGCTGAGATATTTTGGGGGCTCTAGATAGCCTGTGACCTTTCATTTTATCTTGAGATTTCACAATTTGAAGCCCATTGGTGACAATGACCAGACATTAAGTAATGCAACCATGTTTAAAATACAGAATTGTAAAGTAATACTATTTGTGACTAGTATGCAGTGCCCTCCTCTATTATTAATTAAGATAAATGGCTGTGCCCCGAAATAAGCAATTAAATCATGTGCCCTGTTTTCTATCTCTGCCTTCAGTGCAGATCTTGTACTGTCTAATGTCTCCATCTCATACAGGCTGTGATTACACAAGCTGAGCTTTGTAAGATCCTACTTTGTATGGTTTGGTTTGTAGATTTAAATAGTATCTCCTCCACTTGAGTTCACAGATGCTCTCCTCTTCCAAACTCTTTTTTTTTTTTTTTTTGGCTAAGTGAGGCTATTTGGGAAAGATTGACTGATTTTTCTTCTAACTTCCCTTCCCCTTAAGTATAAACACATAGGAGAGAATACAAAATATCTTTACAATATGTAATATATATATGCATATATATTATTTGTATATTACTTGCTCTGAACATAATTCAGATATTTATAGAAATTGGGCTAACAGCAATAGCTATCATTTCTTGAGCACAATATATGGATAAAGGAGTTGAGAGTTATCACCCCTTTTGAAAATGAACACAGGTCCTACATAGTACAATTTAATATCTACAAAGCAAACTAAAACATACTGAAAAGCACTTGGCATTGCTTAGAAACATATTTTAGTAGATGGCAACTATTTACTATATGTCTCTTGTGCCAGACTGTATATTATAGCAGTTGTTAAGCTAGCTCTGCTCTCTGTCTTATTATGTCTCTATTCCAACTTTTCTCTACCTCTAATAACGTACAGGTCAGTGTCTCTAAGCAGAAGCTTGTTATGATTTATACAACCAGATGCAACATGGCATACCATTTCTTCAAATACTTACAATACATGCAAACTCTATTTTTAATAAAATTTATTTATTCTGTGTTTCTCACATAATGTATCTTGATATCATTCATTCCCCATCCCTTTGTATATGCAAAACCTTACAAATTGATTTTCATTTATTTTCTAGACTAACATGAATTAAAATTTTAGGTTTTAAGATTTGATTCTAGGCTAATAAATGCTACATAAATACCAAGTAGGGAAAAAAATACCTTGACAAAATTTAAAACATGTATCCCTTTTTATCATTGCATTTCAAGGAGCTCAATTTGCATTTTCAACATGGTAACCAAGCTATGCTGACTTTTAACATTTGTTTATATTGGAAATATATCAAATATATTGTAATATATTTTTAACATTTGTAATATATTAACAAAATTCGTAAAAATATTTGTTAATATTTTAATGATTGAAGATAGTAGCAAGTGTGTATTTGTGGCATAATTAACATTCAAGTCAAGTATAACTGGTTGTTGCACTGAGTTTAAACCAGCTGGATATCTGAAGGAATTCAGTCTCAGTAAAGGCCAATTTCTTCATAAAAAGGCTGCTAATAGCTAGTGTATCCAGCAGGAGGAGTAAGGCTGGCTTGCAAGGCTGCTGTAAAGAGGTCAGGTTGGCCTGCAGAAGCTCAGCAGCCTAGGGCTGGAGGGAGCAGGAGGCGTGGGCTTCAGTAGAGCTTGGGATAAGTGGCCTGTTGACCCTGTAGGGTGCAACAGAGTCCTTCTGCTGTCAAGGCAGGCAGGGAGCAATGGCCACTAAGTTTAATGGTTGTGGTAACCCTAAAGAGAAGAGGCTAACGGTCTTCTTCAACCTTTTTGCGGTAGTTGGAATAAGAATGGCCCACATAGGCCATTGCTTTGGTCATGGTGTCTCTTCACAGCAACAGACCAGTGACTAAGACAGATGTCGGCACCAGGACAGTGAGTATTGCTGTGGCAGACCTGATCGTGTTCTTCTCGGGAGGATATTGTGAAAGGACTTTGGAACTCTACCCTAGAAAACCCATTGAGTGTTGGGAACTCAGTAACTCCGTTCTGTAGGAGCTTGGAAGATAAGAATGTTGAGAACAATGCAGATGATGGAGGCCTGGTGTGGGAAGTTTCAGAGGGAAGTAAAGACTCTACCAGGTCTTTTGTATGAAGAATCTGTGCTGTCTGGTCAGCCGGAGCTGAAGAATCAGCTGTGATTAACAGGAGACCAGAACTACTAAAGTAAAACCTGAACAATGCACATGATGGAGGACTGGTGTGTGAAGTTTCAGAGGGAAGTAAAGACTCTACCAGGTCTTTTGTATGAAGAATCTGTGCTGTCTGGTCAGCCAGAGCTGAAGAATCAGCTGTGATTAACAGGAGACCAGAACTACTAAAGTAAAACCTTTGCTTTGCTGGGACAATGGATGCTGGTCAGCTGGGGCTGAAGTATCAGCCATGATTGAGAATAGACCAGCATCCTTGAGGTGAAGTCTCCTGGGGAGTGTTTCCTCAGAGTCAGCACATAGAAGCTGTGTTCCAGAGGCAGCCAAGGTTGTAGCTCATCGTGGCAGCCAAACTTGGTAGTGTAAAACTCACCCAGGTGGTCCTGGTTTTGAAGGCATGAAGGGTCATGGAGGACATCTGAGGCTTGGAACTGTGTGACAGGGATGGAGTCCCTAATGAGAGCCCAAGAGAGGCTGTGTGTGCTGCAGAGGGCAGAGCTGGAGAAGTGACCCGGGCTCTTTGGAGGAGTTCGGAAGACTGTGAGTGGATCCCAGACACTGAACATTGAGTTATTTACACAATTGCAGTTTGGTTTTGTTTTATTCAGATTGTGACTGTGTCCTGGTTCCTCCCTCTGGAAGTAAGAAAGTGTTTAGTATAGTTTTTGATTTTATGAGAGCCTACAGGTGAGAGATTTTAGATTTTAAAAGAGACTTTGGATCTTTTTGAAAGAGACTGAAGTTTTTTTTTCCTTTGATATATATATGTATATATATATACATATATATATATTTTAAATTTAAATTTGAAGCAAGCTTGTTTTATATGTCAATCCCAGTTCCTTCACCCTCCCTTCCTCTTCTGTCTCCCCCAAGAACCCCCATTCGACACTGAAGTTTTAAGGTGTTTGAATTTGTATGACTGTGGCACTTTTAAGTTTGAAAGTATTTTATATTGTGATATCAATATTAATGCTTAATCTTGGGGATGAATAAGAAAGGAAATGTTGTGACTTAATGGTGATTTGTTTGTGTTTCGAGTTTACAAGGGGTCAAGTGTGCTGAATAATTTCATGTCAGTTTAATACAAGCAAAAGTCATCTGAGAGGAGGGAACCTCTATTAATTATGTTTCCATAGATGGGGTTGTAGGGATTCCTGTATGCGTGGCATTTTCTTAATTACTGGTGATTGATGGGGAGTTCCCAGCCTTTTCCTGGGCTAGTAGTTCTGTATGAAAGTAGTTAGAAAGCTCTGCCTTGGGGGACCAAAGTAGTAAGCAACATACGTCTACAGCATGAGCTCCTGCCCCCAGGTTTCTGCCCTGCTTGAGTTCCTGCCCTCACTGCTTCTAATGATGAACTGTTACATAGAATTGTGAATGAAATAACCCTTTCTTTCCCAAGTTGTCTATGGCCATGGTGTTTCACCACAGCAATAGTAACCCTAACTAAGACTCTTTGCCAGCAAAACACTGACCCATCTGAAAATTCCAGTTAGACTGCACTGTTGGCTAGCAGGTCTAAAGGACAAAATGACAGCTTAGCACCTATGGTGAGATCACAGTCACATGTTTCACAATAGAGGCTGAGTTTCTTGGCGTTGTTAGTAATTGTTCTGTTTAGTGCAAGCACATGTAACAGATTTCTAATATCGATTAACTTAATTTGTATATAAAAATGGCAATCACTTTATTGGAAACATTCCATGAACCTTGTCAATAACATAGCTTAACCTCTCTGGAACTGTTTGGAGTTTCATTCTAGGATCCTTACATTTCACTGTGGAGGATTCAGAGGGGGCTGCCCCTGACTCTAACTGGCTCTGAGTCTTCACACACTTCGAACACTTATCTCCGCTTACTTATTGTAGATTTGCATTTGCTGCCCTATCTGTTAGTCTTCCAGCATGTGTTCCCATGCAGTATCTGTTACCTGGCCTCTATTGTCTATTATAACAGCCTGTTTATCTCGTGACTTCAGTGTAAATGTAAACATAAAACAGCAGGTATTTTGTGCCATAACTTTTGGGGAAGAAACCTAGCACTGCATTTCACTGTTTACAAAAGTATTTTCATGAAGGGAATCTGATAATTGGTTCTTTTTATATTCTTTTTTGGATTGTTCTGGCTGCCATACGAGCTGACATGGGGCTGGGGGTTGGGCCTCTATAGACCATGCTACACAACCAGTTCCAAGACAGCCAGGGCTACACAGAGAAGCTCCGTCTCAAAAAAAAAAACACAACAACAACACAAAGAGTTAGCTTTTGATATGGGAATTTCTGCCCACAATCTGTCTTGATTACCATTTTGCATCAGGAAACCTTTTGCTGTTGTTTTTAAGACAGTGTTTCTCTGTGTAGCCCTGGCTGTCCTGAAACTCTCTCTGTAGACCAGGCTGGCCTCGAACTCTGAAACTGTGCCTGCCTCTGCCTTCCAAGTGCTGAGACTAAAGGCACACACCAACACATATTCTTATAGTCTTACAAATGAAGGAAAGTGTTTTGGTTTTCTACATAGTCATCACTTGAATTATATTATCACACTGTTCTGGACTCAGTAATTCTTTCTTCATTATGTCAATGATTTAAAAAAAATCACTGAGCTAAACTGTGACTTCCCAAATCCATATGTTGCCTGCACTTCAGAACACGACTTATTAGAAGATAGTAATCGTCCTTCCCAGAGATCATCACGTTAGGATGAGGGCATTAGGAGGGGCCCTATGCATACAAATGATATCCTTATAAGATAAAGAAATTTAGTTATAGTTGTAAATACACATAAAGGGGGTGGCCCTCTCTGCCTCAAGGACAGATGCTTGGAACAACATTTTTACTTGCAGGGCTCTCAGAAGGGCCTCCCCCTGCTAATATCTGGGTCTGGATCTGCACATCCAGCCTTCAAATACTGTGAGAGTAAATTCTATTGTCGAGGGTCCCCAGTCTGCCATATCCTGCCACAGCACACTCATGTAGTTAGTTACACAGCAAGTGACAAATGTACCTCAAATTGAGGTGCACTATCCAAGTGTGGGCAGTCTCTTAACCATGGTGTTGAGTGGTTTGGGCCTGACTCAGTCGAGAGCTGGGGCCTGAGTGTGGGAATGACAGGAGTGTCCTCTGCAGTCATTTAGAGTCAAAGAATAAAGGCTGAGAGCTAAAGCCCTGGTACTGAAAATCCCTCTGTGACCTCATGAGCTCAGCATCCTCTGCATGTGCTCTCAGGTTTCAGTTTGACAGAGGTTGCACATGGCAGGGCCTGCTGCCTGTTGCCTTTGGGTACACCTGCTGTTGCTGGGCTCTTACTCCTTACTCTCAGCTCCCTGATACCCCGCTTAGACGGAGTGGACAAAAAAGGATACCCAGAGGGAAGAGGTATAATGTAATGCCGTGTCCAACTGCCTTCAAAGAAACAAGAGGCTAAAATTACCAGAAAGTTCAGCTTTGTCCATTGAAGAAAAACTAATCAGACACTTGGAGGGAGATACATGTATTTTTCACTCTGACAAAATGCAGAAACTGCTCATTAAGAAAAAAAAAAACAATGGCTGTGACACAGGAATAAATCATTTGACACATTTACAACACTAAGGTCAGCTGCTTTGCATTCAAGCATTTAGGAAGAGGAACAAACTTGCGTGCAAACCTATCTTTCATTTGTGTACATTAGCAGCCAAACTGCAGTAATGAGTTTAAGTAAAGCTACCTTAAAATCTCTCTAAACATTTAAAATGTATTGGTGGCAGGTTGACTGAAATAATCTGAATCATTTGCTCGTACGGATGTAGCCGGCGTTTTGTCCATCATCTTCCTAGATGCATTTGGGAAAGCCAACATTTTATTTCAACAACAGTATCAGTCAATGAGAGAGAGCCATCCCTCAGAACACTGATGGGTGAGGCTTGAGGACCCAACTGAAGCTGTTTAAGATACTCACAGCAGGGAGTGCAAAGAAAGAAATGCCAAGGAGTGCGAAGCCTGCAGAGAGCAATCTTCCCAGCCAAGTTAGGGGCGTTTTGTCTCCATAGCCAATGGTTGTCAGGGTAATCTGGAAACAAAGTCAATAGAACATATCCAGCTTAAGTACTTGAGAAGGAAGTTAGGACCTAGGAACAGGAGGCAAAACAGTATTTCCACTACATCACGACTCCAGAAGTCTTGTTGGCACATTCCGTCACTGTGCTTTAATTTTCCACGACGCATAACGGAGCTTCTCTTTGCTCAAGGGAAGGGATCACCTGCATACTTGGTTCTCGCTTGTAATACAGTCTTCCAGACTGTTCATGCGTACTCAAAGGGGAATTGTCTGGGCAAGAAGATCACCATCACTAATGTGGAAGAAATAACTCTGTGGATTTATAAGTTATAGCCCCAACAGTGATTTATTCTAATCAAGACTGTTTGTTCATCACTGGCATGTTTTTAAAGCCTTGTATATTCAAGATGTGTTTTTATGATTTGTAGTGGAACCAAAATGAAGGTTATATAGTACTTGTCCTGAGATAATTATGGCATAGTAAGGGAGGCATGACCTACACACACAACTGAAACAGGACATAGAGGTGGACAGGAATTCTAATGGGGGCAGTAACCTGCTGAGGGGTTTGAAGGGGTTTGACCGGTACCAGTAAGGACAGTGAGGATGCTTACCTGACATTGCTACCGTATGGAAGGCCTTGAAGGATGTGCCCATCCTTCTGGCTAACAGGCAGAAGTGATGAAGGGGATCCCCAGGGAAGGGAATCATGTAGTGAAAAGGACAGTGGGCGTTGGAAATTGTAAGCTCCTCAGCGGACGGAAGTTTGGTGGGTTTGAAAAAGAGCTGTGGCTTCTTGCTCTTGTCATTCATTAGTGCTCAGAATTTCCAGTGTACATGCCCCTCTGCTGTTTGGTTACCTTTATTTATCCCAGTCTCCTGTCATCACTGGCACCTTGGCAGTCCAGGCTGCTGTACTAGTTTCTACTTGCTCTGTTTGCTTTTCATTCTGTTTTCCTCTAGTTCTTTCTCCATATGCCTAAAGTGCACAACATTCTCTCACTCTCCTCTAATAAGTTATTTCAGTGGTCCTCTGTCTCCTGACCACGGTCACATGATCTGGTCCTCGCAGAGGATATACTGCTTTCATGCATGCTTGGTGCATTTTAATCATGGCATTCCAGCTCCTCAAACAAGTGAGAATAATATATATATATATATATATATATATATATATATATATATGTGTGTGTGTGTGTATACATATGTGTGTGTGTATATATATATATATATATATATATATATATATATATATATTTCTTATTTTACATATTGATCCCAGTTCCCTTTCCCTCCTTCCCTCCCATCCCATTCCCCCTATTCCACAGGAAGGATGATGTCTTCCAGGACAGATCATCAAAATCTGTCAAGTCATTTAGAGTATGGCCTTGGCCCTCCCAGCTGCCTCCTCCATGAGGAATGTGCTCCCAAAGTCCTTTTGTGCACCAGGGATACATCCTGGTTCCACTGTCAGAGATCCCTTAGACTGCCCAGGCCTTCTAACTGAGATCCACGTTCAGGGGTTCTGAGTCGATCCAATGCTGGTTTCCCAGCTATCAGTCTGGGGTCCATGAACTCCCCCTTGTTCAGCTGTCTTTGTGGGTTTCTATAGCCTGGTCTTGACCCCTTTTCTTATCACTCCCCCCTCTCTGCAACTGTATACAGTTCAGTGTTTAGCTGTGGGTGTCTGCTTCTGTTGAGGGCTCTATGATGGCATATAAGTTGGTTATCAATCTCATTATCAGGGAAGGGCATTTAAGGTAGCCTTTCCACTGTTGCTCAAATTGTTAGTTGGTCTCTGGACATTTCTCTAACGTCAATTTTCTCTTCAAACCTATAATGATTCCCTCTATCATGGTATTTCTCTCTCTCTCTCTCTCTCTCTCTCTCTCTCTCTCTCTCTCTCTCTCTCTCTGTTCTCATCTATTTGTCCCCTGACTCAGTCTTCCTGGTCCCACATTTTCTCCTTTCCTCCCTTCTCTTTTTCCTAACTCTCCCTCCCAGGCAAGTCCAGGTAGCCTTTTTACACATGCTGTTCTGTCAGTGAAAATAAATCTTTATTTCCAAGGCACCTTACTATCTTTTAGGTCTTTTCCTTCCTTCCTTCCTTCCTTCCTTCCTTCCTTCCTTCCTTCCTTCCTTCCTTCCTCCCCCTCCTACTCCTTCCCTCCTTCCTTCCTTTTTCCTTTCTTGCTTTATTTTATTCTTTTTCTCTCTTCTGCAACAGGGTTTTCTTCTATCACTATCTGGCTATCTTCAAATTTGCAATTTTTCTGCCTCTGTGTTCCAAGTTAAAGCATTATAGAGACCCACAGCACTTTGATCGTATTTATAAGAAGTACTGTAGCTTGCTTTGGGGAAGGGCTCCTATTTCTTTACAAGAAGGAGTAAGTACAACATTTTTTTTTATTGTCTTCCTAACATCTAGCATGATAATTGCTTCCAATATTGGAGAACTCAGTATTTAGAAAATAGTTGGATTCATCCAGATGGTGGTGGTGGACTTGGGAGGCAGAGGTAGGTGGATCTCAATGAGTTCTAGGGAAGCTTAGTCTACAAAGTGAGTTTCAGGACATCCAGGACTGTTACACAGGGGAACACTGTCTTGGACAAAAAAAAAAAAAAAAAAAGAAAATGATTGGATCCTTCCAAGATTAATGGCAAGACATGGATTGAGAAATATAGGATAAGAATTCCTGTAAACCCCTGACTTGAGGGGAGGCTTCCTATCATGAACCTGCACATGTCTTAGGAAGGGTAAAATGGAAGAGGGTTTTATGATGGGGTAGGACATCCAAGGAGGCAGAGGAAATGGAATCAAGGATATTTTTGCAGGTGGTAACCTTGGCAGGGCGACCAGATAGCTCTTCTGTGGGAGACAACATAGGCTCAGTATGGACAGGGAAGGGTGTTGGGAAGGCTTTGACAATACCTTTAATCATCCTGAAGAAGGAGTTGGAAAGTGGGGAGGAGGGCCAGAGGCCTGGGGATCATGTTTTGGACAGTGAAGGCGTGGGAGAGTGTCAGGCACAAGTCAGCAAGAAAGCTGTGGATAGAAGAGCTCAGCCAGGGCTGCAGAGAGGGAATGTTTAGTGATGTCTAGTAGCCAATGGAGTCAAAGGTCAGCTATATAAGTTATGGGACTCTCAAATGTATTTCTTAATAATGTCAAACTCAAATTTGTAAAAATTTTATTGTACTTTAAGAAACCGTTTTCTGCTGAATAGCTCAACCTATTTGTAATAATCTATTAATAATCTATTAATAATAACTAACTAAAAGAACATTTTGTGTTTTGGTCATAGGAAAAATATGACTTTTTAAAAATTTTTTGAATTTTTCTGCTGCATCCCTGTTCTCAGAGGGTAGAATTTAATGTACAGCTTCTAAGTCTTCAGAATGGAACACAGCAAAGTTTTAGCCTGGTTATCTCTTTCTCTTCCAGGAGTGGTGATGACAAGGAGATAGAATATTATAGATCTGGAGAAATCAGGCCAAGTTCCCCTGGAGTTGATGACATGCTGGTCTACTGTGATTGAGGCTTTTAACATGACTACATCCCAAGAACCTGCTCTCAACAACTTCTTCCTTTCTGTATTCAAAGAAACTCTGGGTTTTTCTTAGTTGGAAGCTTAGGGAACTGTTGCTGCCAGCCATGGGCAGGCCTAGGATGGGTCTTGCAACAGGGTGGCCAGTTTATATCCTTTGTATTAAGGAAGACCTTGGGGAGAATTTCTTTAGTTTCTTTGTCAAGACTGCATTCTTTCCTTCTGTGGTTGTAAAGGAAATAATGGTTTCCACACTGTGAACAGGATGGTAGTACAGGATGGTGAAGCATGCATTAACTCTCATGAAAGTAGAGAGGGAAACTCCAGAGGAGAAGAAAGAGTAGATCGGTGGCAGAGGGAATAAATAGGGTGCAAATATGCTCAAACACATGTATGAAAACAACCCAATGGAATACATCCTTTCACAAATATATTCCAATAAAGAAAGTAAATGAAACTATGAAATTTCTAAGGTGCACATTTACAATGAAAAGATGCATTTTCTCTATGAATTCACAATAACTTGTCTGATTGATATAGCTAACAATATTCTAAGACAGGGATTGATACACTCTCTAAAACTAACACCATACAGGCTTTCATCAATGGATTCCTGGATTTTCAAGTGACAATGTCCTCTAAGAACTGGAATATCACAACCATTCTATGCATGACAGCTAATTTCCAAGATGACTTGGTTTACATACTATATATTTTCCATATTTCAGACACCATCATGCAGATTATCTCAACAACCTTCAGTCATAAGGGCAGATGGTGACTATTAATTATAGCATACAATTAACATACCAATTTGGGATGCTTGATGTTTTAAAAAGCATTGATTTTGGAAAGAGCAAAGTCTAATAGTGGAATGCTTTTATGACAGGAACATTAAATAAGGCAACTGTTTTAAATGCCAGTCTCTTTAGAACAGGAATCCAAACTCAAATTACTAATATAGTTCATCTTTTGTGGATATCCCACCAATCCCTGAGATGTGTAATTCTCTGTCAGCTCTTTATGAGTATAGGACATTAGGATGCAAGGCTTGAGAGCAGTGATAATGGAGGTGGAATCAGATCCAATGCCTCTGTTCATCTTGGGTTAGTCATGAGGATGCTTCATAGTCACACACAGGCTTGGTGGGTGGGGATGACAGGGATTATAGGGTGGGTCCAGGATGATGCAGAGAACTAAAGTATGGTTGGCTAACAGGTTCTGCGTGTTCTAAGACATTTTGGATAATTCCCGAGTGAAAAAATTTCACTCCTTTCTAATACATATAATGTACAATGTACAAAGTGAACCCCAGTGCATTAGAGGTTTGCTTTGCATAGCAAATATATTTTAAAGGGATGGATTGAACTGTAGTGCAGCATAATCAATGAAAAGTCTTCCAAGTGAGCCCTGGTATTCTTTGTAGGTGAGATCATTTTCTGATACTGGATTGTTGTATGATAA